CCAGAGGTAGGAGAGCTGATGAATCGTGCGGTCATTCTGCCTACGACTTAGAGATGATTTAATGAGTCGAATCATTTTCTGGTACTGCTAAAGGATATCTACGATGAGTAAGAAAAGCTTTGAGCTGCTGGCTGTACTTCTTCCAATTCTTTGATCCAAATGAATACTTACTTAACACATGCACTCTGTGGAACGATCTCACCAAACACAACTATTCCCAGTGAAGCTGTGATGAATGCTACGCTACCAGATGTGAAGTCTTCGAACAAAATTGAGATCGCCGCGTTCACCACCTGAAACACATACATCCCAAGACTTCCTTATCAGCAACAAAGGATGCCAACTATTAAGTCAGAGCATAACAATAAGAAAAAAAATTTGCTATAAGAAAATACCACGTTCATGATCAAGATAGTACAAAGAAGATAATTGCCTTTTCTCCTCACAGGCAAGATTGTCTTCGCATATCTCGCTTCTTTTTTCGACCCTAAAAAAGAGGTATTGTCGATAAGAGCAAATTTCTGAGAAACGTCGCCAGATTGTGGTTTACGTATCGGTCTAAAATGTTCGTTGAAGAAATTCGGTTCTTTTTGATTATGAAGGAGCAAATGATAAACCGATCTCATTCGCTGAAGAAGGACTTTTTTTGGAAGTGCTAGTAACCCTGCGAAAGCTGAGACACTATTTTTCACAACACCTCACATGACATGCAATATTCAAAATCAAATCATGTTTCATAAACCACGTGTTTTTTCTCTTATCTCGCTTATATTTCGCTGGGCAAAATGCCTTCTTCAGAGTGCTAATAATGAAACTATAGCACAAGTTTTAAGGACCTCAAAAATGTGTTTGCTCTTTAGGAAGCTCTTTTGATCTTCCGGACCCACTTAGTCTTTAATTTGTGCCTTGGACCTCGTCGGACAGAGCTCCATCTTTAGACTATTAATAATCATCTGATAGGGTAATCTTTTTTGATACTAGTGACGTGCTTATTTTCTGGAAATACGGTTTAGCAGAGAAAATAAGATCAAGTTGTTCATTCTTGGTAACGTTGTTTACAGCCTATTCGGTAAGGCGAAGGCCATGGCGAGGGACGTGGCAGGCGCGGGAAGAGGCAGGACAATTGATATTTTGTTATTCAATTGGGAATTTTCCCTCCGCTCTGAAAGAAACTCCAGATAAAACGGCTGACTAAGATACTGCGAAAATTCCTCACCACATTGATATTCTTTGCGGCTTCCAGTGAATGCTGTGTATGATAAGAATGATGGCAAAAGGTGAATGTGGAACATAATATCTAATCCGATGCTACAACGTTATAAAAAAGTGTTATGAAAAACTGGCAGCGTGGAGCGGTAGCCTCAAGTCTCAACTTTCGAATGGATAAGAGCGTTCCTATTAAAAGTTCCTCTCCAGCGAATGAGATCTTTTTTTCATTTGTTCCCATAGAAATAGAAAGAACCAAAAAGTCTTATACTGACCACTTTTTATGATAAGTTTCAACTCTTGAATAGACAATGACATGAGTCCGAGGTTCAAACCAGAAAATAAAGCAGACATTGCAAACAAGACGACGAGTACAGCAGTCTAAATTGTAAAAATTTGTAAGAAAATCACTTAATTCAGAAACTTTCGCAAAGGATCACTTGCTAACGAGATCGATAATATCAATTCTTGAGAAATGCTTGAAATGAAGTAAACTGACAGCCACCTGTAAGAACAGCGGCATGTAATGCTCTTTCATCGTTTCTGCTGTATTAATCCATGTTCGATCATCATCAATCTGCAGAAAAATATGAATAACTTCAGTATAGTCTCGTAATGTGACACTTCAAAACAAACCAGTTGAAGTTCGCCCATTCGGCCCTGTTGCTTTACGCACATCCGCCAGGAATATTCTCCACTGGTAGAAATATGAATTGATGTTATTGAATAATTCGAAAGAAAAATGCGAAACAAAAGGGAAAAGAAGGAAAGGAAAAGCTTGCGCAAGAATTAAATATTCAACAGAAAATCTCTTATTTTCAAACTTCGTATCAATATCGCTATTACTCGGTAAATTCTGTTGTACAGGAAATCTGACACATAACAACAAAAAATAAGACTAACTTTGGAAAAGACATCTTCAGCTCGATTCGCGTTTCAGTTTGAAGAACGAAATTATCTCGTGATATGTTGAATTCTGACGTCAAACAAATCGAATCAGTGAACGTAATGTACTCAACCTGATATTTTATAAATCTTATTGATCCATCCTGGTAATAAAAAAAATAGTAAAATTCACCTTGTCTAACCAATAGCCGAAAACTACCACAAGTACCGGTACATTTGGCTCAACTATTAACTCCCACGCTTCTCTAAAACACTGTGACATTTGGTGGCATAATCTTGAGGAAAAAACGTGAAGTAAAGTCACTGCTTTCATAGTTCAGAAAAAGTTTCGGTTAAAATACAGCAAATTTTGTGTGATCAGTGGCATTAATATACTTCCGTACAAAATTCTCCCCACGTGTATCCGATGAATCCTTTGTCGCCTATGGGATTTTCCACACGAAGTCCAGATACGTGCGGAATGACTTGCAGTGTTTCCCAGCTGTGCTAAAAACAATTATTAGTGTGTTTGTTTGCATGTTTCTTTTGTGATGTTTTGCTAGAATTTACACTTCTAGTCAAGTCTGCTAAAACAAATGTCATAAAATCAAACGTTCACTTGCAATTCAAGTAAAATTTGTTAAACAAAAGCACATACCTCATCAGGAGAAATGGAAGGAGCTGTAATCAAAATGATAAGCAGAGTTGTGAAGAAATGAAGCATCGTAGATTTTTTATGCTTTATGAATCACTTATTGCCAAAAAAAGCAGTCGATACTGTGAACGTGATATGAGATCGGTCCAAAATCATTGCAACCATCGGTAGTCTCAGCAAATCAATCAACCGAACCGGTTGATTATCAGTTGAGAAATTCAAGGCGAAGTTGAATTTGAGTTACACATGTTGACCATACGTAATGGAACCAGTCTTATCGCTCCATGATTCACATCGATTGGCCAGCAGTGTATTTTGCTTTCATGTTGTCAGTGTTTTTTATTTGTCCCAAACATTTTTGTCACAATTCCTCTTCTCACTTTTCGTACATATCTTATAAATGGAATAAAAGTAAACTACGCAAGTGGCCTAGTATGTAGTATGATTGTTAGATAATCTTCTCAATTACGAAATTATAATTTAGAAATTACAAAAAATCCGTGGAAATTCTCAAAACATGAGAAGACTTTGTCAGCATTTACGATCAGTCAAAATCAAGCTTAAATCATAATATTTCAGTCAATTCTTCGCATTTTTTCAATGTTGCAAAGTTTTACTGTACATGCTTAATAAAGTGGTTTATATTCGGAAAACCGACTATTTTTAACCTTGGCATCACCAGTCAGAAATGTTTGTGTTTTCTATAATAATTAAGCTAATACTGAGAGAGCTATATGGAAACTTTAGTAGACTAACCTTTTGACCTCTTCGTCTACTTCATGATATAAAAATATTATTACGCTTCGTGAAAACTCGTGATGGCAACTTCTACTGTAGAATAGATTATTTGGGGAAAGATATAACCATGAACAGAAAATTAGCATAGCGAGCATCCTACATATATAGAGTTCTCCGAGTGAATTTCCTCATTCGAGCAGTGCTTCAACGAAGAAGATTGAAATCGAACGATGACGATGCTATATAAGATATGATGTTACGTGGTATGATGTTACATATATATATATATATATATGTATACATAATATATATATATCTGTATATATATATGTACACATAATATATATATATATATATATATATATATATATATCTCCAGTGAGAGCGCTTGTGGCGCAGCGGTTAGAGGTGCCCTGCGTCGCACACGAGGTCAATGGTTCGATCTCGCACTCATGGCTCACCAAGCCATCCATCCCTCCGGGGTCGGTAAATTGGTACCAGACAGGTCTCAGACTTGTCTGGGAGGATAAGCAGCACTGACTCGGTTCAGCGGGAGGCCTCCGCGAGTCATTGTAAAGGCCAGATATGCATTCAATCACCTCAAACGAAGTTAAAAATTGAAGTCGAATGCATGGCGCATCCCTCAGGGATTGATCAACGCCGAGAGCTTTATTTATCCTTTATATCCAGTGATGTAGAGTGACATGCAAATCCACCGCTGGAAGCGGTCAAATGAAAAGATTTTAGTGGATCATCCAAAACACAATATGTGTCAGCGTCAATCGGTTCAACGTCGATACTAACCACCTGAGCCAAATCGTTGACTGCTGATTGCTGGAAGATAGATGCGTTGTAGCGTAATAAGGGCGCTGGCAAAAAAAACTTCAGTAATGCAACGGGCTAGAGCGCACGCTCTCGGATGGAGTAGATGTGGGTTCGCGTCCCAGCCGAAGAAAAAGCTTTGCACATCGCACTTTATTGCTGAGTATATATATATATATTATATTATATATACTATATCAATGTATATACAGCATACCACGGCTATAAGCGGTCAAATTAAAAGTTTTAGTTTGCTTTTATATCAATACCAAATTAGGTAACAATAATTTATCTATCTGAATTCATTTGTTTGACCGCATCTTGCGGTGGTATGACCTTATAATATACCCAATAATGCAGTGTTCTTTGCAAAAACATGCGCGTCGGCTGGGATTCGAACCCAGATCTCACTCTTTCCGGGAACGCGTGCTGAACCGTCGCCCTACATACGCTCGTTTTCCACAACACACTTTCTACGTTACAATGCTTTACCTGTCAACAGCCAATCGTCGACGGTCTGGCGGAGCAGCCGCTATCAGCATCGAACCTACTTATGTTGACACATATTGGGTATCAATAATCTCGGAATTAATTTATTTGGCCGCATCTTGCGGTGGTATGATCTTAAAACCATCGACGGTTCGCTGTTGACAGAAAACGCATTGTAGCGTAGAAAGTGTGGTGTGCAAAACGAGCCTCAGTGGTGCAACGGTTCAGCACGAGCTCGCGGAATGAGTGAGGTCTGGGCTCGAATCCCGGCTGGTGCAAATGTTTTGCACAGCACTCTACATTAATAAGTTACCTATTGAAGATTAGGTGTATTGTTATACTTATTGAATATTTGTATTACTGTTTCAGACTTTTAAAATTGCATCCCCAATGCGCGTAAATCAGGCGAATGCTGTTTATTGGGAATCCACAGTGTGAAGACAGACAAGCTGAGTGGACGCTTCTCTTGCTATATATAGTCCACTTCATGCGTACACCTGAGACAACTGGTTAACATGTAGAACAATGTGGAGGAATTGGATGGAAGAAGGACGACAGAATGGACCTCATTTGAAGCCTTCAAGGAATCCACCGACCAAGTGGAATCTAGTACTCCGATTCCAACTCTACAACCTTTTTAATGCCCATTGTGCTGCAGAGACGTTAAATGATACTTCAGAACGTCAAAATTTCAACCAACACGCATAAATCGCTTGAACGATATCTTACGGAATATAAGCCTGCACAGTGTCAAACATAGATCCGAAGCGCAAATCTATACGATTTTCGATGGTCACGGCATTATAGATCGTTGGTGAAGTCTGAGAAACAGTCATTTAACCCCTAAGGGACCACGTGTACCAAATACGATTTTCGACTGCTTGAGGCCTTTCACGCTGAATAAAAGTTTTTTCTTAGACTTCTGGTAACCATTCGAAAGTTTGAGTCTTTTCGATTTCAACGGCATGCTTGTGTTTTGCAAAAGACTTTTTATTACGTTGTAGGAGCAAAGTTTGGCTTGGGCTTGTATATGGCTCTTCACCGCAGTCTTACTAGTCATTCGATGGCCCATGTCTCAAGGATTTTGATGATGTGATTGATCTTTTAAATAAGCGGTAATATCACGTCCCTGTATAAGAAGACAAACTTTGAATACTTAGTGTGCATTAGTATTGCTTGTCTTGGAGGAATTTAGCTTGAAAGCACATCTTCTACAACTAAACACCTCTGATAGGGGTCTATTTGGAGCTAACTGTAGCATGTAGCTGGAGTGAATGTAGGAAGAGCGCGCTTCGTCATTGCGGAGAACGCCGTACTCCCCCTTCAGCATCTATAATAAAAAAAAGAAGTTGTTGCTTTTTCCAGACACTGTAGTGATCACTCAATATCTTAAATCTCGAAAATTTTGAAGGTGTACTTTATTTTTTAAAGGCTTCATGGAGCGTTCTTACCTTCCAGCGGTATGCAGATGAATTTCAAAATATCGACATCAAGTCATCGCTTTTTGATAACTAGTCGATAACTTAAGCTCGAAAACTTTGACGGTGTGCCTGCCTTTTGGAAAAAATTTCTTGTCGAGCTGTAGCACCAAGAATAAAATTGTGCTACGCATTTGAGTAGCTTTCGCTCGACTTGGCCTTTCTCTCATACTTTCATACTCATTCGATAGGGCAAATCTCAACGAGTTTAGCAATATGCTTGCTTTTTAAGATAAACTTCTTAGTGCGCTGTTATAGCTAAAAGAACATTGAGCTTTGCGCTTGGACAGCGTCGAGCGTCACGTGTAAATTGCGCTCCGTAATCGACACGGTGCCAGTATTTTTTTAGCTGTAACAACGCATCTAAATGTCCTTTTCAAAAACTAGGCATATCATTGAAATTGTTGCAACTTCTGTTATCGAATGATTGTTGAAAGTCTGAACCAAAAGCTTGTTCAGCGAAACATACCTGCATTTTAAATAAAATTTTACTTTTACTCTTACATTACAATATAAAAACCGTTTGAAAGATAGAATACACCTTTCAAATTTTTGAAATTCGAGCTACTGAGTAATTACTAACACTCAAAGAGGTATACAAAATGTGCTTTTCTGAGAACGGGTGCGTATAGGGAAAAAGTACCAAGAACACTTCTTTGGAGACACATATTTCTGGCCAGTAGTTTGCATAATGCCATGTTTCAAGCTTTTCACTAGAACACGATTGACCCTCCAAGCTTAGAATTCCTCCACTATCTATAAATTCTCAATATTACTCACATACATCAGCTCTAAATAACTGAAAGCAAACGAATGACTGATTCAAACTTAGCTATAGTGACTTCTATTGATTGATTGGTATTGCATACAGCATGTATCATCATTTTTTTATAAATCACTCAATCTTTTTTAATTTCTACCTACTATGACGACTCCTGAGTTTTGTATAAGACTAGAGAAGACCAAAACTATAGATACTTATTGTGGTCCTTTGTGCGATTCAATACAATTGATTGATTGCCAGATTCGGTATGATTGCGTGATAAACTAGCGCTTTTCCCTATACGTGGCATGTATGTCTGTGCTAAAAGCATATGAGCAAGTAGAGAAAATTGTGTTCTATCAAAAAACGAGAATTCGAAAGCTTCTGCAAAGTAGAGAGAAAAACCTAGATCAAACAACGAAAATCGAGCAATTCGCCCTGAGCACATCAATTTCTATTGCGGTCTTTTAGGGGTTAACAAATATTAGGCTACGGATAAACGAAAATAATTGTGGAGTGAAGACTACAAAGATGCAAGCGCTCTACGATCGTCCAAATGAATCAGAAGAACATTTTCACGGTAAAAGCCGGTCATTTGCATTTTAAGATGGAAATTATTTTGAGACTATAGAATAAACCTAACAAACGACGTCATAATCTCGAAGATGCGGACTATTACCATGGGCGACAAATTAGCAATAAGAAACTGAGTGCAAACTGTGCTGTAGCTCTCACTAACAGTGAACACGGAGTCTAGATATGCTGTCGTTTGACTGGCAAAAATTTGCACCCACTAGTATATAGTCTTCTCGTGAACACAGGCCTTCGTGAGAAAAAAAATTTCTCTGAGTGAGTTATGCGGGCGGAAAAAAAGGACTTTCTAAGGAAGCCATATTCCAAGAGATGAAAAGAGAAGGCGCACTGAAAAGCCAGATATTAGAATAATAATGATGCTGATGACTACAACACAGAAGCGTTCATTGTACTCGCGTTCTTGGCGAGAGATCTTTAGGTATCGTTTCAAAATGAAATTTACCGATTGATATAGCTAGAGAAAACTTTGCTTAGACATAAACGACCAGTTACTTCCTACGATCGACATACTATAAGGGTGAAAATTGGTAAGGGTACTTTTTTTGTTTGTAATTTATAGGCGCCGTTCTTAATTGATAATTTAAGTACACACAACTATTTTCAGAACTAATAACACAAACCTTCCTAGCTAGTACCTGGAAAATTGCGAGGGAATATGCGCTGGGTGAACGTGTGTTGAGATACATCACTATGGTTTTTTTCTGCTTTTCTTGTTAGCCTTTCGCTTCAGCGCTAACGTTTGCGGAATTGAGAGTCACTCTCGATCAACTAACACTCGAAAGCTGTTATGAAAGAGATAAGGACACGGAGGACAGTGCAACATCCTACTATCAACGAAACTGTTATATGCGACACATTTCTGCTCTTTTCTATTTCATCTAGAGCATTTTTCCCATAGTTTGAAATCATCAACCCATTTTTGTATTCTTACACTGTTGTTCTTGTATTCGAGTGGTGAATATCCGTTGCGGTTTGCATGTGAAAACTTGCTATTCTTTTACAATGTGATTTATGTAAGGAATGCCACAGCACTCTTTTGATAGCTTTTAGCTCTATCTCATTTGCCTTCCAAGTTAAGATTATCAAGTTAGGTGGCTTTGTTTAAACGGCTGTATCATTGCTAAAAAAAGCAACTCGTAATTGTTTTTTTTGTAAGTAACTATCTTTCTTGCCTCAACATGATGTCAGTGAAATGCATCACTATCGTTTCAGCAACACCGTGTTTCTTGAAATATTCTTAGCCTAGAAATACTACGATTATGAGTACAAAATCTTTTCAGTGCACAACTTGTACTCCATTATCATCTTTATTTTACATCTTTATGCTTTTATTCAGTATGATTAGGCTGTTCTATATGTTTTAGCACTAGAGCAATAAACACCAATTTTATCAACCACAAGTACTTGAAATTACATGATTCTAATATCGTTCAATTGCGCATTTTCTTGTGAGCATTTAGTCATACAACTTGCCTATACTTACTTCAAGGTAGAGCTGTCTTGGGAACGAATTGCTTGTTAGTTATGCACAAATGACGTGCAAGGGAAAATGCAATGAAGAGGAGCGCATAATCAATGGGGCTTCATGTGTACGGCCCAAGAGCGACTGATCCTCCGGACTGTTTTCTGCAGCTTTGAACGTCGCGAACCACTTCCCAGTCGTTCTTTATGCAGCCGTAGCATCGCCTCAAGCTCTGTCAATTTTGCGCGCCGCGTCATTAGCATTTTCCCCTGCGCATCATTCACGCATGAGTGGCAAGCGAATTTCTTCCTAAACAGCTCCATTCTAATGCAGATAAATTGTATAGTAAAATACTCGTAAGAGAATGCCAACCAAACACTGCTAAATACCAAAATCATGCGATATTACTACTTCTGGATGATAAATTTGTGTATTGCTCTAGTCCCACAACTCATGGAGCAGCCTACTATTTAGGAAGTGCTACCCGATCTCCGATCAGCGTTTTCATAAGCACTGACTCCAAATAATTGCCTGGTGCGAGTAATTACTATTACGGGATGGTATTGTTTCGATTGATTAGAATTCAAGTGTGGAGTTCCATCGATGGTTTTCAATTCGTTTCGCTCAACTTGGTGAATTCTTCGTTTAATGTTGAAACGTGATTTGTTGATTCTTAAATCTCGACATCGACTAGTGATTCACGAGTAAAATGCAAAGATTTTAGAATACCTTTCATTTTAGAGGCTAAATGTTCGCTATTATTTCCTTTTGGAGAGCTTAGAAATGTCAAGTCAACTTCAACATAATCAATTAATTGCTCCAAAACCTCAACAGAGTATCAATAGAACTAAATTTAAATCGGTCCGATTAAGACAACAATATCTTACACTGATCATTTTTGAGTTTCCTACTGGATACACCACTTAAAGACCAACCGTTTAGAGTTCAGAAGAATGACCAACGCTGTCCTATTACCGATGG